TGAATATGACCTTTCTTTTTGGCGCTGGCGCCATTTGGCGCAAATTGGCGCCAACGCCAAAAATGAAGGTCATATTCGTTATCAGGGCATCGGACTACCCCTATAGGCGAAGTTTCATCGAAAATTAAAATTTTGAGTTTTTGGGGGTGTAATAGTAGAATAGTTCTGGGGGTGTAATAGTAGAATAGTACCAAAAACTCTTTGGAACGACACTTCATTTTCGTCCTGGTATATACCAGTTTCCAAGAACTTGCTTCAAAACATTATATAAATAATTCAAAATAAATAAGTGTACGTTTTCAGACTCCCCTAACTCCCTCTGTATTTCAAGAACCAGTCAGGTGAGTGTCTATGAACGTCTTACCTTTTTCAAAAATCTTCCTCATTGCCAATTTTTTCTCTACGCTGATGAAAGTCGCCCCAACGTATACTCTCAAATCTCCCTCCTACTTGTTCCACACAGATGTGAGCACGCTGAGACCCATTCCTGTTTTCTTGGTATTCTTTTATACAAAACGAATTTTAGAGTGGGCTGTTTTACGAGTGATCCAGTCCCTTTTATTCCCATTTGTAGAAGTTCGGCAGCAACTATTTTTCGAAAAATCCCTATTATTTAAGTTTCAGCTGCTGTGATGTATATATTCGTCCTTCACATCTCGTTGTCGCATGCGGCTGTGAGTCGACAGCTGACCAAACAGTGAGTCCCTTCAGAGTTATGTCACAAATTTCATGATGAAAATATATTCTCCCCTCGGATGACTGTCCTAGTCGTTCAAATCAGGTTGCTTTCAAACGGTCCAATTTCAGTCGATCAGCTCTTGTTCACAAGCTTTGATCAGTGATGATCTCGCAAGATGTACAATGTCAAAGCAGTTTTCTGCAAGTAAGTAAGCACCGAGGTGAACTGATTCTTATGATAGACAATCATACTCGAACTTTCGTCCAATGAGGGAGTAGTAGGAACCTTACGTAGCATTTTGCGTCATTATTGGCGGGCTGAACGAGATTGGAATACAAAGGGGTTGGGGAAGTAGGTGAGAAGAGGTTAAGAGAAAGCGGGGGCATCCGTTCATGACTCGACTCCCATTCTAATAGGGCTCGAATTGGGCAAGTTACGAATACAGCTTTAGGCTGAAGCTTCCATGGCCTTGGGTCAATAGTGACTGAACTTACCAACCCCTCAAAAAGGGAACTGCGAGAGCTCTGTGGATTCTACTACTCGAGTAGAAGCCGGAAAGTCGAAATTTCCAGAATTTTGATTTCACGGTTTCTCCAAAGATACTGACCAAGATCACCTGTTTTCGGGCAGAATGGTAGGGATGGGCTTCGAACTGTACCATATAGTTCAGTCAATCTGGTTGAAATTCAATTGCTGTCATTATCAATTTCTTTTTACCAGGAGACCTGCCAAACATCCAAAATTCTTCGCATAGGAAAACAACTAAAAGAACCCTAGGAGAACTAGGTGAGTTCATTTTAGAAGTTTCTTGAGCTCCTGTACCTCCTTGATTGATCGTAGTTTTCAGCAAATACCGTGGCTTATTCTTTACCAATTACATGTAGTAAAGCACTTGATGAAGGACTAATAGAGTAAGTTCTTCATAGCACTACTGCCATTCAATTAAGTGCTGTTATTCGAATACATATCAAATGCATGGCGTATTCCACGGTCAGGGCTCGAACTCATCTGACTGTCTATTCCAGGCCAACCGTCATCGAGCAGTGTCGATCCCAGGTCCCGATACCACAGACGCATCCCACGTACCCTTACGGTTACACCTACGAGAGCGGCTACTTGGATACTAGGACACCAATTCAACCTGTCCACCCCGGAACAACACCTGTTCCTGGGAAACAGTCAGTTCCAGCTCAACCCGTTCCCCAATATGGCTACCCACAGTGGCCAGGGTATGCGATTACCAGGAGTAATAGTCAGCCTAGTGCTCCACCAGCATATTCTCAATGGCAGCAATACGGCACCTACAGTGCTGGTAGTTCCTATGAGAGTCAACAAGGAATTTCACCACAAGTCTATAACCCTTCAATTCCCATGAGCGGCTATGGCTTTTACACAACGGTACCCCCTCAATCAACTACTCTACCCACCAGTGTCATTCCATTAGCTCCACGGGCTCAGACTCCTTCGTATAAATCCCCGAATAATCACGGATATCCAGCCGACTATCGAGAACAGACCCGCCGTCCGTACACCATCGGCAAATTTGGAACATGTGAGTTACTGATACCGTGTTTTGAACAAGATATATTTCCCATTACTTGGACGTTGTATGTAACGGCAATGTACGTTGCACAATTATGGCCTACCACTAAAGTAACAACGTTGCGTACAAATAGCAAGTTGTGGAAAATGCATCCCCTCAAACCAGACAATACTCGATTTCAGTCAGAGAAGTAACGTAATCAATCAGATATTCACAAAAGGGTTTGCGACAGTGGTACAACGGATTGGGGGTCTGGTAAAGTTCAGGGGGTGGGGGGCAAAGCGAAGCCAAAAGCCAGTTAACTTATGGGCGATACTGTCCAGGAAGTTTAAGCGCTGATGAATAAAACTGGGGCACTTGGAGTAGTTAATCGAAATTCCTGACCTCTTCGGAACTCTAGCAGCAGCACGGGAAAGCAATCACTGAATATTCTTCTTTATATACCATGGGAACATATCTGTTTTCGCCTCTATTCAGACTCCAGTAAATGCAAATCACCTACATACGTCCCCGCCATGGACTAATAGTAAGTAATCTTGTTTTGGTATGTGCACTTTTGGTTCAGTTACTCAGTTTTCGATATCACCAGAGAAGGCATCAAACCTGAGCTTTCATACCCCTCTGCCCTTCCATCCCTCACATTTATGGCTTCGTCTAAAAATTACGTTTGGGATAAGCAGCCCTACACAGGGGACCTTATACTTCATTCCATCAAATATTGCAGCCACGAATCCTGCAATGGTACCGTCCTCAGCGGATTTGACTACGGAATCGGCTCTTCAGGTAACCCTCTCCCGTACGCTTTTTGTTCTTAAAGACCAATTCTCCTTTTTAAGGGAGAATCGTCGGCTTGTACTTCACTCAACAATGCACAATGCGTTTTAGGGTTCATTTCTTTATTTATTCTATTTATTTTATAGAATTTTATAATCGGGACCGTATATATTTTTGCTCAGTATCTGTTAATGGGATACTTTTTAGTAGGTATCAATTCGAAAACTTTATCATCATCAATTCTCTCATCATGATGACCTGATTGTTAGCATATCATTCCATATTGAGATAACTTATTATGTGTATAAATACTTGCTCGAATATATTTAATGTGGAAAGCGATAAATATTCGTGTATTACTTCCTTCAAACAGGATTTGCCACAAGACTCATTCTACTAAAGCAGACTTTGGAAATGATGGCATTGTATGGATACATGGGAAAATTCTACAGTTCACACTTGATGAAAAGCACGTGGCGTAACTCCTGACAGGAGGTACCCTTCATATACACGCAAGGTGGCAACATAATGACCTGCGCAAAAGGACAAAAACAAGAATTACATATCTCATATGGTCAGTTTCTTTCTCAGGACCTTACCTGCGGCGCACCATTTATAAATCGTAGCAAATACTGTAACCTGTACAAACCTAAACTTGGAGCCGTAATTTCTCCTATAGAACTGATCAGGAGGCTGATCAATTCGTGACGGTCTCACCTCACAACTAGGGTTTTGCTCTGACTCTTTTATCTCTGCGTGAACATAATGCGGCGAAAATTCGAGGCCTCAAGAATTCTGCAAAACAATGTGAACAAGATCGTAAGGGTAATGCACTTCTAGGACATTCTCCGAGCGAACAGCACGTGAGCAAACAAAGACATCATGTGGGCTTTCGCAACTTCACCATGAATGATTGCACAACAGCAGATTGGTATCATCTTCTGCGCGGCACGTCAAGGGGAAAATTCATGTGCAGTGACTGAAATGATCAGCAAAATGTCGCTGAAATCATTGTTCACTGATCAACGGTCAATAATTGGTTGAACCGCCTCACTGCAGGAGATAGTAGAATTCGAAGAAACGCAAGCATACCTGTGAATTTTGGGGGCGTGAAGGGACCTGCACACCATAAGTTGTTCAACGCAGAAGTAGATAGTCACAGCACCAACAGCTTTATGAACCCCAGCTTTTGACCGACACGGTTAGGGAAAGACGTAAAATCACAACTCAGGAACTTACAGAACGACAATGCACGTCGAAATTCCACTTCAGACATCCGTCGAAGGTTCACCGGCCTCGCTTGATTTTAGGTCGTTCGTCAGTCGAACTCACGGAATACTGCCCCTTTCGATTATCACGTGCTCCACCGTCTCAAGCATCCCTTTGTTGAAAAAAAATTTAATCTGAAAAATCTGGCAGTCAATGAACTTCGAGCCAAAGCTTCCTGACCTCTAAACAGGAGGCATCAGAGATTTTCTTAGAGGATGAGAGAAGGCTGTTGGTAGCTCTGGTGAATATATTTCCGTTTGATTAATTTGGTGAACTTCATAAATGAATCTAGAATGACTTTCTTTTTGTCGCAAAAATTTTCGTAGCAACGTATTATATATGCAGTATCAATCCATACCGAGGAAGAACACCGAGGAAGAACGAGCTCACTGAGCACGGAAACCTGGCCTACAATTAGCGATCGTACATCTGTGCTTCAGGCCTACAAATTAAATCTTTATATCAGCATAGCTATAAAAAATGATTCAAAAGAGAAAGCGATGATCAGTTTTGATGAGAAATTCTTATGTTTCGCCGCCACACATAGCTTCGTACGATGAGGGGCTTTTAAAAATTCGCACAATAACACCACAGAAAAGGTGTTCAAGTTACTGAACCGTATAGTGTGGATGGAAAACTATAGAATATGACGCAGCCAATAACAAAAAGAAAAACATTGCTTTCGACACCGACGCCTATTAAACCTAGAATCACGACCATAATATGATCATATTTCTCCAATAACAAATACAACGACAACGAGACACCAATGAACAAGCAATACAACAAATATTAACGACATGACTACTAAGTTTACGAATTGTTAAAATCAAAGCTGATAACACATCGGTCCGAGGTTAGAAGTATGGAATAACAAATACTGGAAATAACGTTCACAACCGTCTTCTCTCAAACGTCACGCAGGCACATCCTTTCGTCTTCTTTCACGCTCTTGTTGTGTTGGTGGTGGCGGTGTTCCCTTGCGGTGCAAAACATCAATGTATTCGTCCAAGATGCGATCACGTTCCGACGCATGATTCTCCGACATGCGCATCCAACGCTTATCATTCTGAAAAAAGGAATTCTTGGCACTAGGATTTTTTTGTGATCTATTTCATTAGAAGTAAAAAGAACCTCAAGTACAGCTAGAATATCTTTCAAGTGTTGCTCGTTCTCCTCAATCATACGTTTGCTCTTGTACGTGATAATTTTAGTTTCCTTGAGGAGGTCTTTGAATTCGCGCACAGCATTATCATGTCGCATCTCTTGCCAATCTCTGTAGTCGCGTTCCACTTTCTGCAAACATAAGTTAGCCTCGAAACGCACAATAAAGACACAACAACCATTTGGGTTCAGTGAAAAATAAACTAAACTGAACCCGTCCTTAGCAAGATGAAAGTATTTCATCTGTCATAATATTATAGCTTTACTAAGTGAAACATGCGAGAGAGCTCATTCTCAGACATGAAACCTAGCCTAGCACAATCAAAAAAGCTCAACAATGTAGCAAATGCGGGCGACGTACCCGTTCACTATTGCTGGCCACTTTAGAGAAAGTTTCCTCTTCATCCTGGATGATCCGCCGAGCTTCTTTCCACCGAGTCTGTGTCGTTATTTTCGGATGCTCGTCTAGAACAGCGAAGAATGCATCTCTTCGCTTCTTCTCGAGGCCTCTGAAATATCAGCTTACGAAGAAAATCTAACTAAACCCATCAACAAAGAATCCATAAGTAAATCAGAAAATCAGAAAATAAAAAGTTCGCTCGGAATCAAGTAGATATCAGCAAGCTATTGTTATTTGCATGGAGGATTTTCGAGGTTGTCGCAATCAACTATAATCGCACAAGGCCTAAGGTAGATCCCTCTCACCCGAGTAGGCGTAGGCTGACACTCTGCACTGCGACATGGAAAAACTAAGGCTAGGCGGCAGTCAAAGGTAATGCCGAGATATCTGCAACCCACCCCGTAGACTGAATACTGCTTTTGCTCAAGCATTAATGTTAGCAGAACCTTACGATTCTTTAGAAAGGTATAAGAGTTATTAGGTCGACATATTATACAAGCAGCTCACCGGACGTGTTCATTGAAAGCATTTTCTTTTTTCTCCTTATCTAAGAGGTCACACTCTGCATATCGTTCATCCTTACGAAGTACTCGTCTTGCTTCATGCCAAGTAGCTTCGGCTGATTTCACCTGATGCGAGAGTTAGCATGAAATGACTGGCGGAGAACCGAGTTGTTCAACTTACCAAATCCACAAGAAGGGCGTTGAACCGTTCCTGGTGTTCCTGCATTCGATGCCTTTCGCTTTCTAAATCGCGTTCACGAAGCTTATCACCCAATTCAGCTTCTACCTGAAAGAAGACAGAATCTTGGTAGGTTTACCATATTGCAAGGTTCTTGATTTCACTTCTCCAGAAAACTTCGAAGAGCGGCAACGGAAAATTCTCTTACCTCTCGCTGTCTGGCTGCGATGGCAGCGTCAGCGGCAAGACGTTTCTCACGCTCTGCTTCTTCTTCAATATCCTGAGTAATAAGAAATGTCAGTTGCAAGGAAATTTTAATTTTTCAATATCGATACTGAACCATTTTGAAGAAAATCACTCTTACAATAACATGTCGCGGTGTTTAATATCAGATACAAATGCGAGACATCTAAAAACAGGGGAAGTCTCTATAAAATTCACGACCTAAGGAACATAAAATGGGACAGCAAAACGTGCGCAGCTTGATTTTGTCAGAAATGAAGAGTTGCGAAATTTAGAGAAATAAATAAAACTCGAAACGGTTGGGTACTAGCACTCCTCCTGTACAACATGACAAGTCCAGAAAAGGAAAATCAAATGAAAAATGAAAAAAATGAGAAATAAAAAGTAAAATTGAGTAATTCAGTTTTATAAAGAGAACCGTGAACTCACAGACAAACTTTCGTCTCCAAGCTTCTCCACGTGATCACGGAACATTTGCTCTCTCGATGACGAGCTTTCCACAGCTTTGAAACGTTCGTCATTCTCTAGCAGCTTTTTCGCCGTCGACCATTTTGTCTTTCGAGTGAAGCTCGTTTGTTCAGCAAGTAGCGCGAGGAAATCTTTCTTCGCCTGTAGAAGGATTAAGTCATAGATTCAACTACTCTTGGTGCGAGAAAAGATAAAAGATTACCTTTTCTTTCTTCTCTCTACGTTCTTCCTTCTCTTTTTTATGCAGTTCACCAACAAATTCATTGAATAAGTCCTCACGATCGCGCATTTTCTCGACTGCTTTGAATCGTGGATCTTTACCAAACTTCGAACCAAACGAAGAGAATGATGACCTGCACAATAAGGACTTACTGATAAATATCCGACATGTCAAATTCAAATGTCTAGGAAAACAGTCCTATCAATGTACAGAAGTCTTAAACGGACGAAGTTCGAAAACCTCACTTTCCATGCAGCTCAGCTTCAGCAAGTAACTCTTGGAACTTTTCCTTGGCTTCTTTCATGCGGCGTTTCTTCTCAGCACGTTCTTGCTCTAGTTTCTCACGAACGTATGCGTCGAAACACTGAATGGGTAACACTATACAAAATAGTCAATACTTCCAGAAGCAGTCATGTGATGTGAATTCTCAAAATGTTCTTTTCTACTAATCGACCTACCGCTCTTCGCTCCGTAGCGCTGAGTAGCAGGTAACGCGGATCGAAAACAATCTTCGACAACTCCTTTTCAAAAGTGCTACCAGTAGCCACGCCTTTCTCTCCAAGCATAGTTTTGAATTGCATAAGCCGCTCTTCTAGTGGCAACTAAAAGAAAGAAGTAATTCCTTCATACAATGAAATATACTTGAGACTTACTTTTTCACGGTCGCGTTGAGCTTGCAATTCAGCAGCTACGGCAGGATCCACAGGCTTTTCGAGCATCTGTCGAACAGGTTTCTCCTTAAAGAGGACCGTATTAAACTTTCCTTGTTCAGATATGTCCGCACATTTTGGGATTTAAATGTGTTTCACCTCTCAGCACACCACCGCTCCATTTCAACCACAAAAATTCTGCATAATGAAAGTGGCTAACCTTCTCCTTTTTCTGTTGAGCCAAAAGAGCCTCCTTTTTACGTTCAGAACGGCTCTTCTTCTTCGGTGGTCCCTCACCGTCATCATCCTCATCCGACCCGGAATCAGATTCTGCGGCCTCCGCGGCCGGCTTTTCTGGTTCATCTTCAAATGCAAGTATTATAAAACTGCATCTTAAGACATGAATACGTATTGAAACCAAACCTTTGACATTTGCAGGACTCAAAAATGAAAACGAACCTTTCTTTACTTCAGGACATTTGCTTACAAGCAGATCAACATCAGCTCGTCCATACATTTCCGGAGGTCTTTCCCATACCGATGTCTTTGTGGAAGGGTTATAGAAGAACACCTATACTACGAGATTAACGAAACAAACGGTTCTCGAGTTCATAGCTTGCCTTACCTTCCCATCTCCCGTCCACACCACACACCAAGCGGTACCGCTCACTGGTGTACTGCTGATTGGACGCGTATTGTCTTTCTTTTCTTCCTTTTTCGGTTGCTGTTGTTGTTGCTGCTGCTGGTTAGCTTGGTTTTTGCTCTAGAACAATAGTAATTGAAAATAAGAATGTGTAAACACCTTGTTTACACTTTCACCATTTTGAAGGATACTGATTAAATACGAAGTGTAACCTCCGATCCCAACAAAGAGGAACATCGAATGCGATGATCTATATGAACCAGTTCAAAATACGTGAAACAATCAGAGCCGTGCGTGTTTTACATGATTGGAACTTGAAAGTTGAGCTGAGAAAAACGAGGGTTGCAATTCTTCTCAGCATCTTATCGAAAACTGCAGCTTCCTACTCATGCTACGGAAAAACCCTAAACTTCACAACTTCTAATTGACTAATCACCACTGATAGTGAATAATGTCCATCAGTTTCCGATAACTATTTAAATAAGCAGCACAAGGAAGCAATAACCTGGAACCTAACCTGAAGTTACCGAATCGAATTCATGCTTCAAAGACGAATCTTAACAAAAGGCGCTTTTCATATTTTGGATTGCCTTCTGTTGACAATAGTACCTTTAAAATCCTATTATTGAGCATCATGAAAAGAATTCTGAGCTTTCAGACAGGGATTTCTCAGGTGTTCATGCTGGAGATTAGATGAATAATCTAGTCAACCAAGTTAACAGAGATCCAAAAACGTTCAAAAATAAATACAGAGAAAAAAAGGAAAATCTCAGTCGGAAGCTGCGCAATATATTTACTTCATCCTCAAAATTTTTAACCAGAGCTTTAGGGAGAATACAAGTTGTATTTTGCCTCCGCATCCATTGAATAAACTTGAATTTGATAGTAATTCTATTTGCTACAGAACTATAAAGTCTCCAAAATTTTCGTTCAACCGCATCATACAGACTATAGCAGGCGTCTACAACACACCATTTCATAAACAAAACCAACCTGTGCTAGATATTCAGCCAAAGCTGCTTGCGCTTTCGCTTGCGCCTCTGCAATTGCATCAGCCGGCATACCCGTTCCTCCTACAGCTCCAACGGTTGCAGCTACAGTTGTTGCTGCGGCCACTGTAGTTGCTGCTGCAGCAGCTGGTACTGCCTGTGCCTGTGCTGGAGAGGTGTTCTGGGCATCGAGTGGCGATTTTCCAGCTTCAAACCATATTAAAGTTAATTTCCTATTCAAAGTTGCATTAGATCCTTTATATACCTTCTTTATCAATCAATACTTGAGGTTTATCCCATGTATTCTCTTGAGTGATCGAATTGTAATAGTATTTACGACCGTCGGGTGCTGTATACTCGTTCCATGCATCATCTGGATTTGTGGGCGGCATTGGTTGGCCACGACCCGGAACAGGAAAACCAGGAGGAAAGAACGGCGGTGGCATGAATCCTGTAACAGCCGTGTAAATAAATAGCTTTTAGCTTACTAACACGTACACTCCAAAAATATGAAGACGTATGGGGTAAAAAACACAGTCCATAACAATTTGTAGGTTCTCACCTGCAGGTGGTCTCTGAGCGAATGCTGCGGTAGCATTTCTTTGTGCTTCTGAAATGATTTATATTTAAAAATTTAGCGATTAAGCAGTGTTCTCACTGATTGTGGAACAAAGTTGCGGATAATCAGAAAGGAGGATGCTCATGACAATCGAAGAAGTGTGCGATATATCAGGTCTCCAACTAGACGGGGGCACCTACACGATCGCTGTTTGTGCTTCTGCACGTATACTAATACGATATTATTTTGCAACTTCCATTTATGATTTAATCATTATTATGATTATGTGATAATATTTTGTTGTTCACATGTAGAGCCCTACATATAACAAAATGGACATTACACTATGGCGCTAGCGACGAGCGCGAAGCGGAAGGAGAGCCCGGGAATCTTGTTGTACACGCTCATGCCACTGTCCATCTGCCACAATCGACATCTCACATTGGCGACTTTAAGAATGGATAATTAGCCATATACGCACATTTCACATTGCCTAACGCAACCGATTGATAATGCTGTTGTCTCTCTACGGTTGTATAAGTACATGTCATGCATCGGCGGAAGCCCGATGGGAAAACATTTAAGCTGAACTTCGAACGAACTGTGCTGATGGAGTAATTAGGCAAAAAATCTAAGAAGTATACCCGAAAAAGAGGGAATTCCAGAGAAATAATGTTGATGTCGCTATAAGCGCCGTAGAAAATGCAACAATCGGCAGGCACGAATCAGATTCGAGAGTATGTCAGAGCTATCATACAAATGAGGGCAACTCAAGCGAAAAATGACTGTTTGGAGAGAGCAGGGCCAAGACTTTTGGAAAAACATTCTGAGTCTAATACCCAGAGTTCTCGTTCACTTCAAAGACTCCCTCCGACGCACGAGCATGTGCTAAAGACACCGCTGAGTAACCCGACCTTATCCCAGAGAGAGCCCAACATTCGGTTGCATTCAATGACCTTCTTTTCATATGCGTTTTTTATCATATTAGAATGGTGTAACCTGCCAGCTTAGATCAGAGAATCATTCAGGAACCTTCTTCTTATAATCCTGTGTGTGGCGATGTTGTCCCGTCGTGCGAAGTGTGAACAATAGGGTGGGAAAAACGAAAACGAAACACCTGTCCATTTTATCACTTCACAAGAAAAGTTATCGCTATGTTACCTGCTCATCACTAACCTGACATTCCATCCGGTATCCTGAAACTCCTACCGAACCACCCATATTCACAAATACAGAGTCCAATATTTCAACATCGATATTCTCAGCGATAATGCTCGCCGACGATAACTATTCACATCTCTTATGACAGAGAACGAACACTTGTGCTGTGAGGGATTCAGAGGAAGTGAAACGATGTCTAACACAGTCTTGAAAGCTCACTCCATGCGTCGCCTTCCCCACTGTTTTCCAGACAAGCAGAGCTTTTCCGAAAATAGTGAGAACACGAAGCATGAAATCAACTGCCAGCGTTGTCCCTACTGATAAGATTCGGGACAAATGAAGCTCACCTTCTCGCTCCTTTCGCTCTTCCTCACTCGACTTTTGAATCAATTCAGCAAGTTCTGTCTGTCCAACGACCTTGGCTTTTTCTGGACGATCCCAGACGGTCTCACGCGTCTGCCAGTGGTAGAAGTACGGCTTCCCTTCCGGTGACTCTGCTTCCACCCATAACTCCTCGTCTTCTTCGCAATTTGCAAGCTAGAGTATAGAAAATTCACTTTGAAGCCGCTTTTAAATGACAAAAACCACGTGACTAAAAAGTTTCTGAAGAATTAGCTCTGAAGAGACCTACTCTTTTCAGTCTCGTCGCTTGATCCATGGGTGCTGTTTGCTGCTGAGTCTGCTGGGTTTGTTGTGGCTGCTGTGTCTGTGCTGGAGGTGCATAACCAGGCGGAAATCCTGGTGGATATGCCCCCGGATAGCCACCGCGGAAAGGCGGAAAGCTGCCACGCGGTGGAGGAAATCCACGACCTCGAAACGGTGGAGGTGCAAAGCCTCCACGAGCAGGTGCAGAAGGGGTAGTGGGTGGGGTTGCGGTTGCCGGCGGGGCTGCACCACCTCGCATTGTTGGTAAGACTGGAGGCGCTGAAAAATAAAACTTTTGTCAAAGTAAAAAAAAATATGTGTGATTTTCTAGATTCACTCTTAAAAAAGTAATTCATTTTTTCCTTCCTTGAAATTAACCAGTTCAGTAAGCGTTTCGAGAAATGTTGTAGCATATACAAGCCGGTTTTGAGATGAACGTTCCCCACAATACCGTTCCCACACTTCATTAGAATCAGCTGAAATCCACCTACGCAAATCTGGTTTTTCCTATGGTTAACCAGTTGCATATGTGACCTTCCCATTTACGTTTTCCAATAAAGCCCTCACAACTCTGCTAACGCTTGATATGTTTGGCGCTTTGCCGAAAAACAGCCCAGCGTCGCGTGAAAACAGGGAGCACTTACGTCAAGTACATTACAACAACAGGAGAAAAAGCAGGGTTGCTAGGAGTAGCCTGTCGGGAGCTTCTCAAAGACAAGGAGTGAGAAAGTGAAGGAGGTTCCATCTTTATCTGAGTTGTAGCAAGCTCCCCACTAAAGTAGGCTCAATAACAACCACTTCAACACCGTATTGTTGACTACACGTGATGACTCCAATACCCTGATACCTCATTACTGTCTCAAAACGTTTCTTTTTAGAACGAACTTCCCATATTCAGAACATTTGATGCTCACTTGTGAACCCTCACTGGTATACAAATACTAAGTTGAAAGACGGCGTTCGTACCTCCACGCCCACGGAAGAATGCCGGTGGTGGTTGCTGAGGAGGTGCTTGACCATTGAACATCGGTGGCGGCATCCCACCTCCACGACCCGGAGGAAACCCTCGAAAAGGTGGACTGAAATGCTTTTTATAGATTATACAGACGTTGGTAATATTATTCCACAAATTGCGACAGGCAAACTTCCTCAACCTAAAAAACTGCAGTCGAGGTTGAGCTACATCGGCCATGTTGAAGGTAGTTGATGAATCCAAATGAATTGCACTTGTACTTTTCCGCACCGATTGATATACCTTATCACTATCACTTTTTCCCGCTAGTGTGTAGTTATACTTTTCTTTATCTATCTATACGCCAAGAAACATGTGAAACGTGGTAGCAGCATTCGAAATATAAGTCACGGTTTTTTTTTTGAGTTTTTGACTTGCTATGAAGCAAATGGCATTTTTAAGAGATTCTTTCTCTTATTCTTACGGCCCGTTTATAATGTTTAAAGCGTTCCTGCACAACCTGGGAACGTAGACTCACAGAATAAGCGGATTAGCTAGTATGGACTTCCAGATAACTGACAACCGCGATGCATCTTTAAACGCTTTGATCTACACATCAGAAGTGCATTAACGTAAGAATAAAAGAACGAAGATCTGCCAAAATATTGGCTGCTATAGTACCAACATCCGAACCTTTTCCTAGCAGTGTCGTCACAAGCAGAAATATCATTTCAAAGTCTCACCGAGCCATTCCTCCTCCTCTTCCTCGGAACGCTTCTCCAGCTGGTCCTTGGTATCCATCTTCATAACCACCATACCCCTGATCATAGTTCTGTCCATCGTAACCCGATTGATCATACTCCTCTCCTCCGTGTTCTCCCCAATCTCCTCCACCTTCGTGATTCACTGGAATATTGCGCGTCAATGAAAAAACAAAAGATTTTAACTAAAACAGGAACACACAAGTTACTTAAAATTCTGAAAAGAACTCAACGTCGTACATGAGCAAATTCCTTAGTATGAGCGATTTTGCATGCTACTACACTGCTTCATTCGAGAAGTCTATCATTACTAGTAAAAAACTGTATCCCCGAAGTAATTCTAGGCTGATAAAATGTTTTCCCCGAAACACATTAACTCTACAAGTAATCGACACCTGATTGAGAATGAACATCATTGTGAAATGCTTCGTGGTCGTTGTACCCCGTAGTGACGTCATGCCCAACGTCCATCTGGGCGTGATCGCCAGTATTTGGCACGATATGGTCAGCTAGAAGAGAATAGTTTCTATGTAAATAAAACTATGGATCGGCAAGTCTGAGGTCTGAGAAACATGTCAAAATGTGCGAGTATTACCAGTCCAAAGTGATGAAGAGATGAAAGAAACATTGGAAAACAGAGAATGGCAAACAGAACGTCTTTAACAGTACGCATGAGTCTCAAAAACATGACAATGAAGTTGTAATCATAATGATTACAGATCGACTCTTCAAAATCTCAAAGACTGGAACTCTTACCTCCTGGACCATCTCCCCCATGGTGATCTTCGTGGTGGTAACCGCCGGTGTCCATATTATGTGGGTCTCCGTAATTTTGATCTGTAATTAGGGAAATATAATATTTTATACATACATAGGGTTTCAGCGTAGCTTCAAAATCGAACATTAGTTAGTCAACTCAAAAAAAAAAGGCGCAAGGGCTAGCGAGGAAGTTTTAAGTTGGCTATGCATTTGACGAGTTCTCATTTAACCTGAATCGCAAGCAGAGCCACTTCAATGATGATTTGTCAATAGAGGAGTGAGAAATTTAGCAAAAATTTTGGTCGTACATCAATTTAATTCAAGCAAGAGAGAGGACGGACCAAAACCCAAAGAATCATCACTCGATCTGGATTTGATAAAAGACTAGCGCTTTCAGATTTTTGAAACGCGTCGAATTCACTTGAAGCCGTTTGTGTAAATCCCGCCTCTGCGCTTAATCATGTACGACCGCGATCTTAAAAGACCTAGGCAATATCTTTGTCTTGTTCCAAAATCTGGAAAAAATGGTTCAAGCCTCGCGTCACAATAAGTGGAATTGTTGCGTGACACAAGAAAGCCGCTCAGAGAGGTAATGTCGCTGGCTTAGCACAATGAAAACAAGAGGTGCAGCCGCAAACGCAGTCTCCTGCCTGCGGAACAGGTTAGAAATGGCAGCAGCACTTATGCACATACTAAGACTTCTCCCTATCGAATAATTTTACTCGGCAACACTGCTGCACGCGGTAAGGGTAGAAATCCAGTTCGAGAACCTGGTTCCCGTGGATAATCCTGCTGTGGATCCTGCCCGAACACGTGGTTGTGGTCACATTTCTTTGAAGTCCTTTACAGACCTTAGCGGTGACATTGCCGGGGTGCTCATTTGATTTGTCGTATATGTGACAGGTCTGAGATCTGTAAATTTAATTAAAGGCCAAGCCAAGGAACGATTTATGTTGTCAGTGAAATCTGAGTCCGTAATGTTCAGTCCACCATAAGCTCACGGTAAAAACCAAGGTCCATAATTTCTGTTTCTGTTGCACGTTGTGTTAGTTTGGTCGTTCCTCGGATTGCCCTTACCAAGATTCGGCCACGTTTAGAGCAGGAATGATTAAAAGTTTGAAATCGCTAACCGTATCCTTCGTTCATGTGGTCGTTATAGTGCTTATCAGAATCCATCGGTTGATGTTGGTGGCCCATTTCTTGATGTTGAGCCATATTATGATCGCCTCCGTTACTCTCGTACTCCATACTAAAAGAATAATGTAGCTACTTTATACACATATGTGCACATCTACATACACATCCGCAGTATCAGATCCGGAACCACATGGGAGCAGCAAAATCAAAGTAAAAAGAGGTAATGCAATACTTCGAAACTGAAAAATACCTTTGCCTCTCCCTATACAATTACTTTCCAAGTGGATTTCTAACAGAAATGTGTTACTTAAGATGAAAGTGCATAGTGAGGCCACACAGGAGCTTTAACCATCCTCGATCCCCATTCTCCATTCAACAGTTCCCGTTTTGGAGGCAGTCCAATAGGAATTGTTTAATTAGTGAGGGAAATCAACACGTTCAAGCCTGGTAAATGAGAATGCCAGAAAAAATAGCATACAACACCAAACTCCAGAAGATCGGCACGATTTCGGAAACGCTCAGCGACGACGAATACGTCAGCATTGCACCGAAACTGCGTCAGCCTATCTCAACAATGTTGAAGGCGCATTAATGGGGCGCGGGATACTGTGAAAATCGTCTGTCTGGAACTCTCCGCAAAAGGCTCATCCCTCGGTAAGACATTCGAAGGTCATATCTCAGTTGGGAATTTAGTCACCAGATTCTCCGCTCCCCATTTTAGTCAAAATGACAATTCATGTGACGTGGAAGTGGTAATCCCTAGTGGAGAGAGTAGTTCGAGGGGAAGGTAATGTGGATGTGGTCAAAACTTCAAAGTGATCTGATGACTACCTCATCATCAATTAAGTGACAAATGGCAGATCAGGAAATACCAATTCGGAGTTCAGTGCCAATTTCCAGTAAACCACTACAAGACCTCATGTTTGGAAAATTTACCCAAGGGCGAAGACCGATTTTGAATGGGGTGGACGTGGTACGTACCATGGCGGAAAAACTGGCTTTCATCAGTGAACAGCTCATAGCTTTGAATTGGCGTCTGAGGCTTGTCGATAAAATTTCTGGTGCTACAGACAAGTCTTTCTACGTCTGTTTGGGCATATACACACATTCAGTCCTTTGGGGTGGTAAAGTCTCCTATTTTGAACTTTCAAAGTCGTCCTGGGTTTTGTACTCATCTCCCGTGAGAAAGCCATTGTACCCACGGGATTGGCATCTCTACCTTCTCACTGATTTCATTTGACTGATAGCCTACGTCCTATACGCCAATGTAGGACAATTCAAGTGAATGTTAGGCTGAAACTAAGAGAGAGACTTTTATAATGAATAGCACTGAACTATTCAGACAATTACCTCATTTCAGGTCAGAGAATCGTGAAAGAGCCGCAAAGGGACGTCATCACAAAGTTCCACAAGAATCCCAGCTATCAGTCGCACTCGTTGAAGTCGGTATCCAAAACGCTCCGAAGCCTATGATTTGAATGTGCCGAGTACGGTGAGCTAGCGTATTACCGACCATGTTTTCTGGAAACTTTAGCAGTGAGGCTTATAAGGCATCCTTGAATAGTCTAGTCTAAAACGGGAAAATGTCTGGGAAACCAGTCAATCTGCCGGTTAGTGAGAGGTCATTCCTCACGCTCTCACTCTTCCATTGTCTTCTTTTGTTCTGTTCGTCCAGGAATTTGGTCTTGGTTTTGTAAGTGATAAAGAGCAGGTGCCCAGAAATCAGAAACTCTGGTCGCCTCCCGCCCAAGGTCGAAGTTTTGCCAATTACTCGTCAGTCTTATGCGTGAAGGTTTCTACACCATCTGGGTACTGTCAGAAAGTTTTCCCTTTGATTCACGGCTTTTCAACGAAGTGTTATAGGATGAGTGGAACATATGAATTGTCGTCATGGCAGGCTGTGTCCGTTGCCACTTCAGTGTTGATAGCCCTCAAAGTCCTTTTAATTCCAACTTACACATCAACCGATTTCGAAGTGAGTTGTCCTAACAATGGACACGTTACTGAAAAACCGAGTTGATTCAATAGGTTCATCGGAATTGGATGGCTATAACGCACAATCTGCCGCTTTCAAAGTGGTACTATGAGTCAACATCAGAGTGGACTCTTGATTATCCACCATTTTTCGCATATTTTGAAAAGGTAAGTGAAGTTACCTGTATGCTTTCTATGCGAGTTGCTCTCTAGCTATTACTGACCTCTGTTCCTTTTACAGTGTCTTGCCACTGTTGCTTACTTTTGTGGTCTTGAGGATATTTTAACTTTGCAAAAAGGAGCTTTATTCAACAATCGAGTTTTATATTTTCAACGACTTTCAGTCATTGCGGCGGATATTTTCTACGTGGGTTTATGTTTCATTTACTAAGCCGTACTTCAACACTTGTCGTGCGTTCAGCTACAGGAGTCTTTGCTGAGTGAAGATATTTATTATTTTGCATATCTAGTTATATCTCTGAATAATCCTTCGGGTTATGGGAGGCTTTCTGCTCTATATGCCTATGAGGTCGCTTAGCGAAGCAGCTGAAAATGTTCATGAAGATATTTGCGTTAAGTTTCTGTATTGGGACTTGAAACCAGTGTGAGCCCGAATGTGTGTCGAGCGAACAGGCTGCTTTTTCAAAAAGGGATCATGAAATTGCTAAAAACGGCATACCTCTACAAATCCTTTTGCAGATTTTGTCATGCGTAATCTTCTGCTTCGCTGGTTCACCTCGATGGGAAACTCTTCCAAAGAAATTGCAACCAAAAGCCAGGTGAGGTCTTTATTTTATAATGCTTTGCATCGAGCTCAATTACATTTTCATTGTGTGGAATCTTCTTCTTCTTCAAGAATAGCCGCCTTCGTTGTGCTGTCATGCCATAGTGGACTTCTATTGATAGATAGTATCCATTTCCAATATAACGCTATGCTAACTGGCCTGTTTATTTTATCAATCTATTTTGCGGATTGTGAGAAGTTCTTGCTTGTGAGGTTTCCTGAAATTTATTTTTGTTTACATATAGGAATTGACCGAAACATTGTTTAGTCAGCTTTACTGTACTGCACTTTGTTAAATTTCAAACATATCTACCTATATTATGCGCCTGCATACGTCGTTTTTCTCCTTCGAGGCTATTTCTTTCGTTGTTTCGATGATCTCCTGGAGTTTACCCGGACTATAAGTTCAGGTAGGGCTCTCAACAACAATTATAAGCACCACAGAACTAGAAATATTTCTTCATAAATCGTTCAGGAATCAAACTCGCCACGGTTATGGCTGTTCCCTTTATTTTGTCATTCGGGCCATTCATTTATGCTGGAGGTTTACGCGGGTTCATCCAGATACTAAGTCGGCTGTTTCCTGTGTCTAGAGGTACTGGCTCACGTTACCTTAACTTTTATCATGCATAGATGTATGCTTGTGATTCTTATTCGGCTATCAAGGTTTAACTCATGCTTATTGGGCTCCCAACTTCTGGGCCATTTACAATATCATCGATCTTATGCTGTATCGTTTGCTGTCGCTGTGGAAGCCTCAACTGTTCGTAGCTCCAACATATAGTTCTGGGCTAGTTCAGGTTTGTTTTTCACTCCATAGAAGTTCATGTATCCGAGGAAGGTCCAAATTCTTCTGGTCGTTTCATCGAAAATCATTGAGTGCGTAATTATCTTGTTCTTAATGGTTTCTAAGCTTCTTGAGTGGCTGTTTTACGCTCAATGAAGGGCGAGAAATTGAGTGATGTTCCATGTTTGTAGTTTCATGCATGCTTCGGCCTATAAAATGAAAACTCTGCTTTTTTTAAGCTGCAAAGGACCCATTGGAGCTTTGTTTTGTCATAAGCACAGTATTTAATTTCACGAATGCCTGAAGCATTTCATCACTTTTTTGAAGGCGTGTAACTAAAGTATCATCAAAAAAGCAATGTTTCAGGAGTACGAGCATTCGGTGTTGCCCACGATAACGCCGCTGCTGTCTTTGATGTGTGTGCTCAGTTCATTTGCCCCATTATTCGCTACCATGTTCAAAAAGAAGTTGCCGGATTTCTGTACGCTGCTGAGTCTCAGCAGCTTTTCATTTTTTTGGTTTGGCTATCATGTACACGAAAAGGCAGTGCTATTAATAGCAATTCCCCTGCTATGTGTTGCTTTCACGGTGGGTAGTACCTCATAAATTATAAGATTGTGTCGTTAAATGGGGATTTCAGGATCCGAAATTCATTAGATTGGCTGTTCTGTTCTCCATAATCACTGCTACTTCTTTATTTCCATTGCTTTTTACTTTGTTCGAAGTTCCGATCAAATATTGTGCTTCAGCGACATATATGGTGATATTGTTACTCATGATTAGGTATGGAAAGTGCTATCAAGTTTTTTTTTGAGCCAGAGTAATCTCTTCCTTTTACAGACATGTTTTTCGAATCGACATTCAGTCACTGATGATATTACCAACCCTGGTTTACGTTCTTGGCCTGTTCTTCATCGAGTTTTATGCAACGTTTTTACACCAGGTTTGTGCTGTCATAAGAGACTTGAAAAACAATAAGGTAGATCGATCATATTGTTGAATGGCGATTGTGCCGGACCCTTGCGAAAAATGGAATTACGGAATTTGGTTTTTATGATTGCTCGATTGCCACAGCTTGTTAGATGTTTCAGGCTTTGTTCAAAGCAAGTTTGGCTTTCCTTCCTTTGATGATGATATCAGTATATAATGCTGCTGGTGTTCTATTTTGTTATCTGTGGCTCATTCTTTTGGTTTTCGATGATGATATTGGGGTGGCTTATAAGAAGAAGCATTGTGAGCTGATTGAGGTGAGCATTCAACTGTTCTAGTCGTACTTTCATTTTTTGTCGTGATGATATTCAATTTACAATCCCGCTCTTTGGCTTCTTGCAAGAGTATCGATCGTTTTAGGGTTTCATTAGAGCAGGCCACTACCCTGTTCAAACAGTGGAATCACTCGAAGAAGTTGAAGTCGTCGGCGGCATAGATATCTCTGCTTCTAAACACAACAACGGTTTTGCAGTGGTGGCCTTCAGTGTTTTTGAATACCCAACTATGCGGGTGAGTAGACATATTTTACGATCTTCGTCAGCTTTTTAAGTATATTCGAACTTCTATTGTGTCTGTTCTGTGATGTTGATTTTTCTAGCCTTTGGCGGTTTTCGATGATGTTGTTGTGATAACGGAACCGTATATTACCGATTATCTTGCTGTACGCGAAGCGAATCCAGTGGCAGATTTTGTGAATCAAGTTCTCACGGACTATCCTCAGTTCCGTCCGGATGTCTTATTATGTGACGGGAATGGACAGTTCCATATAAGGAGTAAGGTTTGACTACAGTTTAGCAGTCCAACGAGTTAAGAAACTTTTTTTTCAATGTAGGAGGAAGCCATAAGTCATTTATATTATTACTGACCTGTAGAGTGAACTATTTTTTCTTGAGCAACTTTTCCTTTTGAAAATCACATTTGCTCAGGATGTGGGCTAGCTTGTCATATTGGGGCCCTGACTGGTATTGCTACCGTAGGAGTGGCAAAGAATCTCAATCTTTCCTTGCTGAAAGCTGCAGGAGCTGAAGACGACGTTCTAAAGGCTGCGGATGAGGTAATTCTGAATATTTTAATTATTTTCCTTGCTGAAAATTGAATGCGCATTGTGTCGTGCAGGGTTAGGTTAGTGGCAAAAGGCACCGCAACCACGCAAACGGTCGGAGTTGCAGATCGTATTTTTGTAGTCAACATAATATTTATTATATTCTTCTATTGTGGGTCAGTCGGAAGTAGGTCATGAGTGAGTACAAAGCGCTGGCATTGCATAGCACGGCCCCTCACAGGCCGTTGTAGCTCGTATATGCTTCTACAAATCTCATCCAAAGAGCAATGTATAGAAACTCTCAATGAAATTGATTGAAACCGTTGCGGTTCAGTGTAAAAATCTGGATAAAATCGCATAATATCATTTAACATAACGATTGCCCAATTTGCAGGTCATTGCGAATGTCTCTTCACAAACCTCTGATGGGTATACCCCATTCGATGTGATTTTACCTGTGCTGATGAACGTCACAAGGTTAGGGGGATCGAAGGTTCCCGTCTTCGTATCTGCAGGGTACGGTATTGAATTGGACCTTGCAACGCAGTTGGTAATCACGACAGCAAGGAATCGAATCTGTGAGCCTATACGTAGCGTGAGTATATCGATTTTATTTTAGCAGTTTTTTGGTATAATTCATTGTGTGAGCTATTCAGGCAGATCTCCATTCGAGAGAGAAAGTACGGGAATATTTCGACAATTGAAATCGCGATGTTTCAAGAAGTGTTTTGAACTCGGTAAAAGTGCCACTGTGATAACTTATTTATAAATTTGTTGTTTGTCATTCCATATTGTAATTACGTTGCGTAATGAAAATGTAGAGTGCTTAGAAAGTTGTTTTCTTCAAGCCAATATGTTTTTTTTTTACCAACTCTCCTGGCCGTTCCCATGGAGTTTTGGATTGTGGGATTTTGGTCTTTCTCTGCTAGGTTGATAAATACACGCATTGAACTGGAGACGGTCATGGGTCACACAGGTTTAGCAGAGGTACCGATCAAGCTGCATTTTTTCTTGCCAGAATGGTGTGTGTTGGGAAGTTCTATCACCTAACGAATCGGATTGATTCGTCTTTTTGTAGGAGGGAGCAGTGCCGCGTTGCAAAAAGACATCACTCATACATTTTGAAGAACAGTTTTCGATTTCATCCGGAATAGTGGACCACGGGAATCGTCTGCAAACTCAGGTAAGTTCACAAAAAGAACAGAAGCAAAACAATGCCCAAGACAGGAATCGAACCTGTGTCGCCACGGCCACAACGTGGAGTACTAACCACTATACTACTTGGGCCGAAAGTGCAGCGCCTAACACACCTGGAAATCGTTTGTCTAAGACAAGGCAAAAGTGCACGCAGGGCGCAGTCCCCTCATAACAGTTTTTTCCATTCCATTTTAGTTGGAAAGTTGGTGCTCATCCTTATCTTCTCGCTTGGGTTCACAACGATTGGCTAATTAGAGGGCATTTATCTCTACTTCTCGGCCTTCAAATGTTTCCTTAGAGAATTCTTGCGTTTGAGACCGCTGGAGTTTTTCGTTTTATAATCCATGAATACAGTACTTGGATGCTCGATCCCACGGTGTCTCACTATCCCACCACTGAATCTTGGAGTTTTCATGACCGAAAAATTATTTG